TATTGCTTCTCTATCAAGGTCATTCATCGTGATCTGAGCCCGGCCAATCTACTACTTACTGCAAACAAAGATACGTGCAAGGTTTGTGACTTTGGATTTGGGAAGATCGTACAGGGACCTGGTGACCAAACGGACCATTATAAAATGACCGGTGGGCTCGGCTCGCTTCGTTATATGGCGCCCGAGGTGCTCATGTATGTATGATTCAGTAAGATTCGAGTTCAAATGTAAATGTATTTATTCTAGCATACTATTTGAATTTTCACGCGCTGTGTGGCAGTTCGTGCTACACGAGATTGACTATTTCACCTATTCGTTTCAAGCAAGATGTTTTCTATAACTTCAATCACAACGCAGCTTCTTGACAAATTTAAACCAATCGTACACTAAAGACTGTTTTGAAGCTCTCGACCTGTTTATCGCGTCCTCATCAGCTTTCCGCATATATGGCTCTTTAAAATGCAGGCACAAACCGTACAACGAGAAGGTGGATGTGTATTCGTTAGGGATGTGCGTATACTACATGTCTACAGGTATGTCCAGGGTCACAATTTGTTCTGCTATTAGTGTGGACCCTTTGGAGAATAAATACTGCAGCAAGTCAGTTCAAGGTGACACCTGCCGAGCATTATGAATGGTGTCAATTTTTGGCGATTCCAATTGTATTTGCAATTACAGATTGTGTATATGAAAGCATACATAACACTCTTCGCACGCTTCATTATCACTCTTCAGGTTACAGGCCGTACGGGGCTGATAAAAATCCGATCGAAGTAGCCAAAAACGCAGCTGCAAATCCAAGCTTCAGGCCGAACACGGATGGCGTTCCACCCCCCATACGAGACTTAATGGCTGCGTGTTGGGCACACGATCCAGATAAAAGACCGAGCATGCAAGAGGTATGGAAAGGATGATTTGATTCCAATTGCGCATTGTTCGCGTCGTCTCATACATGCTTTCATGCGCGGGTCATTTTTGCACTGCTGCACTACGGTACACACGTGCAGCAAGTAGATATTTTTGTTTCTGACATTTCTCCATTACAACAATTTGACGATCAGGTTTGTAGCAAACTTGACCAACTGAGGCAAGGGAACAACAAGAGCTGTAGTATTCAGTAAAACCCCAAGTTTGTAACTTGGAGGTGATGAGCTTAGTCTACAGTTGCGATAAAAACGAAAGCATGCACAAAACGGCGCCAAGTTGCGAACAAAATAAAAAAGACTGAGCACAAACACATCTCTACGCCTCCTCATAGACTTGTAGGTTGTGCCGTGCACAAAAGAATAAATCTTCGTTTCCCAAAAAAAAATCTTCGTTCCAAAAAATACAATTGACGCATATTTTAGTGCCTAAAAAACCTCGACCACACGCGGTGATGCGTCTCGGGTGATTTACTCTCCGCACGAGTTGATTGAAGATCGTGCGTCTGTGATCCTCGGGCCTGTGACTTTGCGTCCTCTTGGACGGACGTTGTGCGATGTGTCCATGATAATGACCATCGTGCATCACTGCCTGAAGCTCGCCGCGTTGGACCAGCGGACCTTGTTGCTGTGACACGCTGGATGTGCGGTGGGAGCTGTGATTCTGCGATTGCAGGGTCGCTACTGTTATCGGGAAGGGCATAAGACCCCCGTGGCGTATTGCTTGGCGAATTGGGGGCAGTCACTGCGCCGCTGGGATGCTTACTTACATTCAGGGAACTATTCGACGCGGCTGGCTTCAAACGGGACTGAAGCTTGAAATGTGCCTTTTTCAATTTTGCTTCTAGTTTCGTGACATCGTGCTCAATCGTCGATACTTGATTCAGTGCGGGGTCATCGCACGCCGCCAGGTTGTATGGATGTAAACTGTCCAAGGCTAGTGTCTCGTTGACGTATTCATTGATGCTCTTGTGTCGCTTGTAGAATTCAAGCATAATTCTGAGACCTCTAGCCATTTCCCGCGCCACCGTAACGTGGCAGTGCACTATGTGTATCCGTTCCTGTATTCATAGCGGCGTACAATTGTGAGCATTTGTCGTAAATACAAGCTCTGACATTCAATGCAAAATTAACTTTCTTCGGCAAAATTGCAATCAAGACAATACACTTTCGATTCGTAAAGACGCCGAGATCGAGCTCGATGACACGCCTAGATCGAGCTCGATGACACGCCTAGAAACAAGGTCCAGAGGGCATGTAAGCAGGATTTCAGAGCATCTATCTCTATAGTGTAAAAGCAAATAGTACCGTTGCAATTTCGACTATCAGGAACCGAAAACGAGGATAGTGTCGCATACAAAGGCAGATCAATATGTTAATGGCATCACTACGATACTATTCCGTGATAGATCAACAACACTTACCTCCAGTAAACAATGTTTCAGCATTATGAAGAACCTGTCGCCTTCGATACTGCTGGTCGACGCATCGTTCAACTGCACTATGACATTCCCCACTACCAACTGGTGCTTGAAAGCGGGTGAATTGGTCACCACACGTGAAATTGTCCGGTCACCTTTGCATTCGAATCCGATATCCAGTAGAGTTTGCGCGAACAGATCCGGCTCCTCGTGTCCATCGACACCCGTTGTAGATGGGTCATGCTTCTTCTCTAACCTCGCATCAGCGTGCTCTTCGTTTGCTTTGTTACCCGAGGCTTCAGCGTGCTCGCGTACCGCTGCCACGTTGTGCAAGCCATGCACAGCCTTGTTGTGCGGATTCTGAGGAGGCACTGTCCACAAGTCGTTAAGTGGTAGATAGCAGTTCTTGAAAAACGGTTGATTGTCGATCTGTGTGTACAAGATTGACAAGTGAAGCAACAGAAATGGAAGAATAAACATCCACATGGCGCGGGTTGTATAAAATGGCTTGGAACCTGTATAGTTGTACATCCACATATCTCTATTGAAACAAGGGTTGTACTGATTCTCGTAAATTTACTCGGTAAGGTGCCCAAGCGAATTTGTGCGTACAAAATAAAAACTCACATAACATCTTCAAAGAAAACATTTTAAATTTAGAACCTCTCACGGATCTTTCACCGCTAGCCTGGCATAGATAACATTGGCTTAGCGTTAGCCCTCCATTTCGAAAAGATCGAGAGTCGTAAAATACGAAGAGACAGCATCCAATTTTCATTTTCTATTGTTACATATGCTCGTACCTCAATAATCAGTTTCTCTGATGCATTTAATACATTCACCCATTCACGTATAGTCTGCGGTAATTCAGGCGTACACACTATCGGTTTTCCATTGATTGTAGTTAGACGATCACCAAATTTCAGTCCGACACGGAAAGCGCAGGAAATGGTTGCTTGCTGCCGGTATGAATGTTAGAGGGCCGATAAATGAAGCGAATATGCACCAAACATTTCCACGGGCGCAAATGATCGTGTACTTTAATGCTAGTACTCATGTAGTTTAGTACAAAAGCTAGTGAGACGAAACGACGAAAAAAACACGTACTAAAAGAGTCAGTACGATAAACTAAGATAAATGCTAGCATTTTGCGTGTGGTAAATTTCCAGATATATGTAAATTTATATATATATTGATAAGTATATATAAAAATATATACATTTTCATATACATATACATATACATATACATACACACACACACACACACACACACACACAC